CCCCCCCCCCCCCATTCCCGCATCCCACCCCCAGCCGCCCCGTTCCCACCCCGCTCCATGGGGCAGCGCCGCGGCCGCTGAGCTCCCCCCCCGCCCCATATCCCCTCCGCCCCGCACCGCCCGCCTGCCGCCCCCCGCGCCGCGCCCCGCGCCCCCCGCCTCGCCCCCCGCCATGGGGCCGCGGCACCTGCTGCTGCCGCTGCTCCTGCTCTGCCTGCACGCCCTGGCCCTGCTGCTGCTGCCCGCGCAGGCAGCCGGGCCCCCCCGCGCCAAGGGCAACCGGACCCAGGGGGCGGCGGCGGCGCGGCGGACCCCCAAGCCGGGCAAGGAGCTGCTGAACCAGACGCTGGCGGGCCCCGGGGTCGCCGCCCCCACGGCTCTGCCCGGGCGCGGCAAAGGCGCGGGGGGCGGCAAGAGCCCCCCCGGGGGCGGGGGCGGCGGAGGGGGCTCGGCCCCGGCACACGAGACGTGCTGGGGGTACTACGACGTGAGCGGGCAGTGGGACAAGGAGTTCGAGTGCAACAACAGCCTCACGGGCTTCCGCTACTGCTGCGGCACCTGCTTCTACCGCTTCTGCTGCAACAAGCGCGCCGAGAAGCTCAACCAGAGCCTGTGCCGCAACTACAAGAGCCCCGAGTGGGCCCACCCCACCACGGCCAGCGGAGCCCTGCCCGCCGACGGCGGCGACGGCGCCGACGGGGACGCCAACAAGTACGACCCGGACAAGGACAGCACCAACGCCACCGTCTACATCTCGTGCGGGGCCATCGCCTTCGTGCTCATCGCCGGCGTCTTTGCCAAGGTGGCCTACGACAAGGCACGGCGCCCGCCCCGGGAGATGAACATACACAGGTGCGCCCCCTCCCCTGCCTCCAGCACCCTCCTGGCCAGGGACGGCCCCCTCCCTCTCCGAGTGTTCCCCCTTTGCAAAGTCTGCCCAAGGGCTTCCTCGTTGCGCTCCCCATCCGAGGGGGTCTGTCTTTCAACCACCCGTCCAAGGGTTTCCCACTCGTGCAGCCTGTCCAAGGGTTTCCCCATCGCATGAGCCTTCCAAGAATTCCACCTTTGAACAGGCTGTCCGAGGGACTAGTTTTTACACCACTTGCCCACGGAGTCCCCTTTGAACTACCCATTCAAGTCTTTGTGCTTTGCACTGGCCTACTGTGAGTTTCCCCCTGCTCCACCTTCCAAGGACTTCCCCAGTGCCACGGCTGTCTAAGGGCTCCCCTTTTGTGCCACCTGTCCAAACGATCTTCCATCATGCTGTTGCTTCGAGGGGTCCCCCCCTGAGTCACTCATACAAGGGTTTTCCCCTGGCTGTCCAAGAGTTCCCTCTCTGCACCACACGTCAAAGGATTTTCCTTTTCCATCCTCTATCCAGAAGTTCCTCCTTTGCACGCTCTTATCAGAGACACCTCCACCTCTCGGTCCATCCCTCCCGTCCCACCTCGGGGCCTGCCCTGCTGCCCCACGGCCCCGCTCGTGGGTGGCCGTCCCGTGGCTTCAGCACCGGCTCCGCGGACAGTTCCGTGCACGGTTCCCCGGGCAGGACCGCGGACAGTTCCATGGACAGCAACGCGGGCAATTCCGTGAGCGGTACCGCGGACAGTTCCGCGGACAGTTCCGCGGACAGTTCCATGGGCAGCTCCGGGCTGCCGAGCGCCCGGCCCGGCCCGGCCCTCCCCGCGGAGCCGCCCCCTTCGGCATCCCGGCACCCCCACCCTACATCCCGGTACCCCGACACCCCTCTCCTTCCTCCCGGCACCCCCTTCTGCATCCCGGCACCCCCGGCATCCCCCTCTGATCTCTGGTACTCCAGCACACCCCTCTGCACCCGGGCACGACCCCCCTCCAATCCCCTGGCACCCTCCTCCCCCCATCCGCGTCCCCCGACATTCCACTCCTCCCCCTCGGCACCGCGGTACTGCCTTTCTGCCCCTCGGCACCCCCCTCCTGCCCCTGGTACCCACTCCTGCTGCCCTCCAACACTCCCCTATTGCCCTCCCGGCACTCGTGGCATACCCCAACCCCGCACCGCTCACCCTCCCTCCTGCCCCCGGGCACCCCCTCTTGCACCCCGGCCCTCCCGGCACGCCCTTCCTACCCCCCCAGTACCCCCTTCTGCCCTTCTGCCCCCTGACACTTCCTTCCTTCCCCTCTCCTGCCCCCTAAAACCCCCTTACATCTGCCCCTGCACCCCCCACGCTCCCGGGGGCATCAGAGCCCCTCGGCCCCTGTGGATCCTGCCCTGCCTGCTCCAGCCAGGGGAAGTTTAGGAAGTGTGAAGGGGACGGTTCTGACCCCCCCCCCCTCCCCCCCGGATGGTGCCTTTGCCTCGTGGTGCCAAAGGCTGTGTGGGAAAGCACTGGTGGTGGGGAGAGCTCTGCATCTTTCCTTTTTTATTTCTTATTTTCTCCCTCTAAACCCTGCTAACTCTGTCCTTGCTGGTGCAGGAGGCAGTTTGGGGTCCCCTCAGCAGTGCTGTTACACATCTCTGAGAACACTCGACGTGTCAGAGAAAATCCCTTTTCAAAGCAAAAGCTCAGGCTGCTGTAGCAATTCTCATTTTGGACAAATGCATCTACTCTCTCGGTTCATATTTATTTTATGATGAAAAAGTCCCTGCAAACGATGAGTGCTCCTTGCGTGCCGAGAATCCAAGAGCTTCCCGTGTCTGAACGTAAAAATCAGTGAAAGGCTCCTTTATAAGAACACTGTGAGTGGGGAAAGACCATCTCTGGCAGATAACACTTCATAAAAATTATTTTAATTCACAATTGTTCGTCAAAACTATTCAAATCATTGACCATGTTTTTAAGGCTGAACTCCAGTTGCAGTTAACAGAGACTGGGGGAAGAAAGTGCAGGTTTTTACAAAGAAAAACAGACGAGTGACGCAGTTTTTATATGTTTGGGGAGATGTGTTTTATTTAGACTCCTCCCTGAGAATGGATGTGCCTGCAGTGAAGCCAGGCTGGTTTACATTTGCTGAGGGTCTGACCCACATATTCCATCCCAACCCCCCCTTCTGCCCCTGGTCTCGCAAGGAAACACCTCCACAGTGCTAAAAACTAACCCAGCTGTGTGTGGGGAGGGGTCCTGAGAGTGGCTCAGCCAGAAAAGAGGCTCCTTTAAGTGTCCTGGGAACTGAGGGCTGGTTCCCCAGCTGCCCAGCTCTTCTGGCTTCAAGGCAACTTTGCCTGGGCCTTATCTTCACACTAAATTTGGAAATCTGGGTTGGATGCCCATATGTTACTTCTGCTCCAGCTCCAACGTGCTACAGGGCTGAATCCTTCACCCTTTGGAAATCAGAGACAGCCTTGCCAGACTTGTCTGGATTATTCCTGATGTTTTCATGTCTTTGATGCTTGCTTTGCTTTATTTAGGGAAGTTCTGCTGAAATGATTCACCTGTGTGTGGAAGTATGAATGGCAGATTGAGTGCTTGGGAAGCTTGACTTCCAGAGCATTTTAAGGAGTTGATTGACTTCTATAATATGATAGCTGGTAAAAGATTATACCTTTCAGAGCTGTGTTACCTGAACTTGATCAACATTGCATGATGGTTTAAATATTATGAAGTGCCAGGGGCTGCATCAGGCTGAGGAAAAATGCTCTCAGTGCTCTAAGCAGAATATAAATATGAGGAGTGGAATGGTTTGCCTTTGTCAGCTGCTGAGGAGTAACGGGGAAGGAGGAAATCAGGATGTGCTCAGATATTTCTGTTTGTTTGAGGCTGTGTCAGTTGAAGTGTAAGTTCCAGAATAATTCAGTGTAGTGGTGGTGAGTACATTAAATCTCCGTGTGCATCCCAGCAAAACCTCTGGGATGAGGAGGAGAGCAGCAGAACAATCAGAAACTGCTACAGAGGGCTGGAAACAGCCCCTTGGGACCAGTACCCCACACCCAGGGAAGATTAATCAAGACTTGCCTGCACTTCACCACGAGCAAGATCACACTGTAAATTTTATTTCCTCGTGAATGGTCGGATAGAGGTGCTGTGCGTAGACGTTATTTCTCTGCTCGTTTCTCATCCAGCTTTTATAGAAAATCCTTATTAACTCAGTCAGAAAGAACATTTGGAGGGAGGCAGGGCTCATTTAATGTCTTTTGATAGAAGGAGGGTTTACAAATTCACCGGAGAACTGTCACTCTGCCGTGAAATGAAAGGCTGGCTGTGCACGGAGATGTGCATGTGCAGCTCAGAGCTGGAATCAGCTCTTGTTTCCAGGCACTACAACATCCCTTTAAAGCAGAGGCACTGCTGGGATTCTGGGCTCAGCAGTGGCAGTGACTGAGACGGTCGTTTCTGAGAGCAGTAAGTGGAAGAGCTTTGAAAAACAGCAACTGAAATATTCATATTTTGCACAAACGCTTGTAATGCTTTGAACTGAACTGATTTTTAATGGTTTTAGGATCTTTCAGCCTGATCATACAGAATTACCTCTTGGCTGGGTTTGGAGTTCCACAGCCAGAACTAGTGCTGAGCTCCAGCTAGAAGCTGAGGCTGATTTCTGAGAGTTGTAGGCAGCAATGTTACGTTGGTGCTCCCTGTCTGCATTTGTGAGGACAGTTTGTGTTCCTCCATTTGTCAGGTTTTTATTTTTTTCTCAAGCATTTCTCAAGTGGGAGCGTGTTTGCTTTACTTTCAGGATGGGAATGAGTTAAGGGATCTTTGAACAAGGAATATCAGTTGTTTGTTTGCAAAGCTGTTTTTCTCTGGCACGGAGGGGTGACCCAGAATATTCTCTTCCCATGGCCATGACCCCAAATCCCCAGGCTCCAGTGCATGAATAATTCACAGATAGTAGTATCGCTCCCTGACCCCTGTTTAGCCCTCAGCAGCAGCCACTGCGCTCTCTGCTGAGCTAGAAATGCACAAATTGGGACTGGTTACAGTCTGCAGAGAGGGACTGAAATCTTCCAAGTGCTTCCCACATGGTGAGCCCAAGGCACAGGGAGACAGTGGCAGTGGACAATGATGGGAGCCCAGCTGTTCTCCTGTAGGAGATTTTCCCCAGCAGACCAGCTCTGTATCCTGCTCTAAGGTTGCCTTCCTTATCTGGCCTTGCCTGGAGTGTGATGGGTGTGAAAGGCAGAAACAGGCACCTCCTGCCCTGAGCTTCACTTTCCCTGCTCCCACATCATCTGTGTCGCTGCAGAGAGGAAAGATCCCCGTGCTACTCCTCTCTTTGGTCCCTGCCTTTGCTTCTCCAGCTCTGGGAACAATAACACTCACTACTTTTTTTATATGTGACCCTCCTTTTCCCACGTAGAGACCACGGTGGGGTCGATCCTTTCCTTGCCATTGTTACCTGGCAGCTCAGAGTTTCCACGGGAATCCCACAGACCTGGCACTGGTTTAGATGAGGCTGACTCAAAGCACAGGAAGGTTTGTGTTCCTGAAGGCTGCCTCTCCCCACAGCTCCAGGCTCGGGGCTTGCTGAGGGGTGGCTGGAGGGCAGCTGCTTTCAGCTCGGGAGGCTCGTGTGAAGCGCCTCTCTCTCCAGCCGTGCTGTTTCAAACGGGATCACAGCCTTCTCTGCTCTGCTGCCACGTGTTCCTGCAGCCAAACAATCCAACTTCACACCTTCCCAAGGTGGGGAGAGAGTGCTCAAACACACACCTGGCCAGGGGGACTACACTGAAGGCTTTTTTGTTGCTGCTTTCAGTTTCTTTCCACTGATGAGTTTTTTTCATGCTCTGATGTTTTTACCCCACTCGGACCCACTTTCTGCTGCTCCTTGCCCTGCTTTGTGCTGTTTGCTCCTGATGGTTTCTGAGTCTCTTCTCTAAAGTTCCTCCTGTCCCTCTCTCAGGCACAGAACAGAGGCCCACAAGCACATGTGAGGTA